GTACATGTGGTACTAATACTCGGGTTTACGTAGATTTCTCCATCGGCGCATCATTGAAAATAGAATGACACCAGGTGTTCGCGAAAAGGAGAAGCATATTTAACCTTCGGACTCTATATTTCCTGTTAATACTAGGGCTGTGCAATATTACCGGTAAGCCGGTATATATCGGTACAGTATCTCGCGATACGATTATCGCGATATGGCTCAGATTCTGCAATATATTGGGTCATCCAGAGGTTAGCTCCTTTTGTCTTATCTGCCCTTGATTTCCATGGCAACAAAATGTGCGGAGGACACCAGAGATGCTTCACACATTAAACCAATGTGGGGGATCCAACCCGGACCGTCGGCGTGATGAGCGAACGCTTTAACCATTAAACTACCCCACCGCCCACACTGGATTCTAATCAACACGTGGGACTACATATGTTTAGCCAACAGTGGTTTGACCATGAATGTGAGCTACTAAAAAAAGAACGATGTAAATGTTTAAACAATCTTAGGAGAAAAAAGGATAATATATCTTTACAGGAATACAATATTAGTATTAATAAATATAACAGTGTATACAAAGAAAAGAAAGCGAACTTTTTCAAAGGGAAGCAGGAAAAACTCGAACATTGTCTATGCGATTCTAAGCAGTTTCGGGCCACTCTTAAAGGGCTGAATACTAATTGTTGTTCACAAAACAATATACCAATCGAGGATTGGTTTTCCCATTTCAAGGAACTATTTTCAACCTCTACAGGGAACGAAGAGAGTTTTTGTGCTACCTATGAATCGAATGAATTCGATAAGTCATTTTGCCAGTTAACAAGAAATGATATTTCAGAAAGTATTGCAAGTCTAAAATGCAACAAATCTGCCGGTGAAGATAACTTGATTCCTGAATTCTTTAAATATTCATCCGAAATCATTCTCCCCGACCTTGAAATTCTTTTTAACGTATGCTTGAAAAGTCTTTCTTTCCAGAACAATGGACTCTGGGGATTGTAATTCCCTTGCACAAACAGGGATCTACTAATGACACCAACAATTATAGGGGTATAACTCTTTTGAGTGTTTTCAGTAAGATTTTTACCAGTATTATACATAGACGTTCAGTCTTTTGGGCCGATGCCTTTGATAAGATAGATGAAGCACAAGCCGGTTTCAGGCACGGGTACTCTACAACTGATAATGTATTTATATTGCAGACACTTGTGCAGAAATATTTAGCCCGAAAGGGAGAAAACATGTATGCCATATTTGTAGATTTTGCTAAAGCGTTCGACTCCGTTAACAGAAACATGCTGTGGTCCCTTTGTAAATCTCAAGGTATCAGTACTAAAATTGGTAAATTATTATGCTGCATATATCACAACGTGAAGGCTTGTGTTCGAAATAATGACAACCTATCTGATTCCTTCTGCTGTAACATTGGGGTAAGACAAGGATGTATACTCAGTCCATTCTGTTTTCGTTCTTCATCAACGAACTATCGCTACAAATATATGAAAACTGTAACGAGGGCATCCAAATACATCCAGAAACTATGAAACTTCTTCTACTCCTTTTTCCTGATGATATTGTTATGTTCGTGAGCACAGTACCTGGACTTCAAAAGCTAATAAATCAACTTGAGTACTACTGTAAACAATGGAAATTGAATGTCAATATCGATAAGACAAAGGTCATAGTTTTCAAAAATGGAGGGAAATTATCAAAACGGGAAAAATTGTTTATAAAGGTGAAAGATTGGAGGTTGTAAGAAGTTACAAATACTTGGGTGTACTTTTTACAAATCTACTAACTTGGTCATTGCACTGCAACAAAGCCGCACTACAGGCTAAAAAGATTTTAATAGGCATTTAAGAACCATAAGACCGCTTACAAATATTACCTTTGACACCTTTTCAAAATCTTTGACACTAAGATTAGTCCTATTCTACTCTATGGTGCAGAAGTACGGGGCCAAGAAATCTATGACACATTAGAGAAGGTATATGCGTGCAAAAGATTTTTAGGAGTAAACTCCAACACCCCAAATGTTACAGTTTATGGGGAATGTTGGAGATACCCTATGTACATATGTAGCTATATAAAAGTAAAAAAATATTGGATAAGATTGCTTAAAATGCCAAGCACCAGATTCCCCCAAAAATGTTATAACATGATGATGCTTTACGATGACAGAGGTAAAAATAACTGAACCTCTGGTGTCAGAAAGATACTTCAGTCTTGCGGCTATGATTACATCTGGAGAGAACAAAATGTAACAGCACCAGAGCATTATATATGATTTAACACAAAGGCTAAAAGATATGTATTTTCAAAAATGGCACTTTTCACTATGTTTACACAATAAGTTAAACCATTACTCGTGTTTTAAATCATTCATTCTCACAGAAAAATATCTTCTAGACATTAATGTCAAGAAATTCAGAACAGCACTAGCCCGTTTCAGATGTAGTTCCCATGATCTTCTAATAGAAAAAGGTAGGCATTCAAGGATACCACGGGAAAAACGATTGTGTAAATATTGTACTTATCAGGAGGTAGAAGATGAATATCATTTCTTGCTTGTTTGTCCATTTTATGCAAATATCAGAAAAGAATACATGAAGAAATATTTCTACTTGAACCCCTAATAGACAAATTCTATACCCTCATGGCATCCCAAAATCAAACAGCCACAAAATACCTTGCAATGTATATATACCATGCCATGAATATGAGATCCTCTGCATTACAGATGTGATATTATTTACTATATATTCATTTATATTGCACCCTCTGCTACTGTATGTTAAATGTACTATAGGCCTACGGCCTCTTCAGTACTTTAAATAAAGATTGATTGACTACAGTGCTTAAAATGTAAAAAGGTGTAAATTAACTGACGATAACAATATTCAATGTATCTGTACAAACATACTCGAAAGCCGGTGATTACTGAAGTAAATTGCATTGTTTAGCTGCCATTGCTCCTTGTAAATACTTCAGATGCAGCCAGTTTGATTTCTTCTCCAAGCATTGCAGTAGGACCAGCTTTGTTTCATTCGGCTACAGCTGCAAGCACAGCTGATTTGTCGTTGTTGTAGTCATTCATATTGAATACCACTTTAGGACGTACCGAAAAAAACATCAAAGCAACGTTAACTGCATCAGGGCCTATGTCAAAGGAATCCACCATCCTATTTTGGAACTTCTTCAGTCTTGAAGATGTGTTGCCAATGGGACTTGATACACCCTGTGACTGTGTACCCCAAATAGAAAATGTTGAAGTAAAAACATTTAACAAAAACGTTGCCATGCGACAGCTGCTCTAGGTGTCCCATGACCATGACAAATCTCGTGACAGTATGATTTATGACTATATTATAGGTGAAATGCAACATCATGGTGCGTCCTTCGTGAGTCTGTTACAAGAAACTGTATCCTCTTCAACATGAATACAACAAAGAATCAACACGTTTGTCAAATTTAAGTGTAAATACGTTACACTGTACTTTACTTTTATTGCATGTATGCAAAATCATTTTTTAATAAACAAGGAGAGAGCATTGGCAATGTAGCTCACATGAATATGCAGTCAAAAGTCTGAACTGGTTCTAAAGAGAGAATCGTCTTTCAGTTAATTATAACGATAATGTTATTCATTTGTATAGCACATATTTGAATGTAGCACTGCTAAGAAGCGCTGAATTATTACCCGGGATAACCCAAGTGAGTGAGTGAGTTTAGTTTTACGCCACACTCAGCAATATTCCAACTACATGGCGGCGGTTTGTAAATAATCCAGTCTAGACCAAACAATCCAGTGATCAACATCATGAGCATCGATCTGCGCAATTGGGAACGATGACATGTGTCAACCAAGCCAGCGAGCCTGACCACCTGATCCCGTTAGTTGCCTCTTACGACAAGCATGGGTTACTGAAGGTTCATTCTAACCCGGACCTTCACGGGTGGATAACCCAAGCTAGAAGGTTAATAGTCACATGACTTATCCCACCGGGTACCTATTGTATGTTGGGTAAACAGAGGCAATTTTGAACAAACTCACTTACCTAAGGTGAGACCACATGTATCACATGTGTTTCGTTGTGGAGCAGGACTGAAGTTGTGGGGACTCTCAGGAGTCAAGTTGCCAAACACGGTGACCCATCCACGGACTCTCAGCGCTCAAAGTTGCTTAACTTCAACTGATTCGTGACCTGCGCTCCATGCTCAAGACCACACACCAACACCATTACTTCTAACAGGCAACACCAAAAACTCGATTAGTACCTCTTCAATGCATTACGTTATTGTAGGAACAAGCATGTGACTGAGTGACTGAGTTTGGTTTTACGCCACTTTTAGCAATATTCCAGCAATATCATGGCTGGGGACACCAGAAATGGGCCTCACTCATTGTACCCATGTGGGGATTCGAACCCGGGTCTTCGGCGTGACGAGCCAAGGCTTTAACCACTAGGCTACCCCACCACCCCGAACAAGCATGTGAAGTTTCAGATTCATTTGTTTCACAACACAGTTTCACAACACAGTTTCACAACACAGGGCACATTTTGAGAAACTTTAGGAGCGTGATTAAAGTGAAAAAGTCCTTACATTTTGAAAATACATGACAGAATATGGGCTATACCACTTATTTTCAATATGGTTGCTATGGAGACAGTGCCTGAAAAACGCATTCACATCTTTCTCAGAAATTAAGGTGCCATCGCTTGTATAATTAACAATGCAAAAAACTTACAGCTGCAAGTTTTAAAGCTCGTTGACGTTCCGTCAGGTGAGCCAGAGCATATTACCTGGAGAATTCCAACGTGTCTATATCAATACACTCATATTCTATCATGTGACGGATACATGACATTGATCTGGCGATGCTAAGCTTTCATGCCTGCAGATGTTCTGACTAATGTCCATCAACGTCAATATTTATATTTCATATATATGTGTGTGTTGTTTACACTTTGACGTTTTTGTGTCGGAGTCTCGGGCATTGGATAACTAAAATATTCTACAAAATGTTGATCCTATGTATACTTGAGTATTAATCAAGTACGTATACTGAGTAAAACGAGTGAACATGTTTCTCATTCTGGTACTGATTGGGAGTTGCTATGGCCAAGGTAAGCAATACGTATCGTTACGTTCTTTCTCCCTGTCTCTCTCTCTCTCTCTCTCTCTCTCTCTCTCTCTCTCTCTCTCTCTCTCTCTCTCTCTCTCTCTCTCTCTCTCTCTCTCTCTCACTCTTTCTCTCACACATTCTCACTATATCTCATTCACTTTTTTTTCACTATATCTCTCACTCCAACTCTCTCACACACACACTCTCCCTCTGAGAGATGATGATGTTTTCCCATATACGACCAGAAATTATTGAGAATTTAAGATTGTATTTTGTTTTTAAATTTTCACTCATTACTCACGTATTAAATGTGAATATTAGCAGAACATAACTCCAGATTCAAAGACAGGTGAACAGTTGGTATTTTGTCAAGTCACCATGGGCAGCAATGCAGGCTTCAATGCGGCGGGGCATACTACTGATCGTGGTCCATGCTGTCCCAACATCGGACCACCTCTTCTTTCATTTCAGCAATATTTGTCAGATTCTTCTTATTGACACTTTCCTTCATAAGTCCCCAAACATTTTCTATTGGATTATGGTCAGGGCTATAGCTTGGCCAATCTAATAATGTCATATTTTGGATCCGAAACCAGGCCTGTGAATGCTTTGAACGATGTTTTGGGTCGTTGTCCTGCTGGAAAATCCAAACATTTCCATAGAACACTGAGCAGATAGAAGTTCATGTCCCTCGAGAATATCTGTGTACCGCTCACTGTTCATATTCCCTTCAAATACACAGAGGGGCGTTGCCCCTAACACAGATATGCCACCCCACATGTTAAATTTCGGACTGTACTTTGGGCGCTGATACAAAGGTTTTTCAGTTTGTTTGGTCCAGAATTTCAGTGTATTAGGAAACAGCCACATAGAACTTTCATCTGAGAAAATCACATTGTTCCAGTTAAAATTTCTATGCTGTAAGCACCAGTTCAACCTTCGCTCCTTTTGTTCAGGTTTCATGATCGGTGATGGAATTCCTCGACTTTTCTGCCAACCCATTGCATGCAGATCAGTTCTAATTATCTCCTTACAGACAGCCACAGTTCCTCTGTCAGTCATATTCAGCCTTAAGTTTTCTAAACTCCTTCGTTTGTGTTTAGAAACAAGAATACCAAGCCGCCTCCTGTCACAGACTGTCAATTTTCCGGGCCTACCTGCGCCTCCCTGGTGCTCAGTGCCATATCCATTTGCAATATTTTTCAAAACACGATAAACTTTGGACAAAGGGATGCCTGTTCTACTTGAAATCACTTTAGCTGATCTGATGTCCTTGTTATGACACTCTAAAATCAACTTCCCCTTCTCTAAATCATCCATACTGAGGATCACTGAAAATGTCGTCTGCTAGCAAGTAAACAAAGGGGGATAACTCTTCACAAACTAATGAAAAAGGATTAACGGAGTTGTCTCTCTTGAATGAAACCAAGCACTTGATAGCTGGTCAAGGTTGTTTATACTAGAAATCCAATTCAATATATTCCTAAAATTCTCAATAATCTCTGGTCATACTTTACATGACATGACATGACACCACGCCTTAAGAACAATCTTGACGTCACACATAACCTCGATACTGAGGAAACTAAAGTTTTGACTGAAACTGAAGTGTTGCTTCGGCCTGAATAAGGTGAACAAATCTTTGGCCACCCTTTTCCTTGGTTCTTAACTTTGGTCTAAACTTTATCGCCACTGCCACCGATTCTCGTACGTCTCAGGGACATCACTCCATGCACAACCACTTTATAACCCCGTCTTTATATTGTCAGATTTATTGCCGCTCGCAAACAGAAGTTACTGTTGGTCAGTTAGTCTTGGTTTTTGTGTGATGCTACTGTCGGTGAGCTGACTGTTACAGAGGAGGTCTACAGTAGCATCTCCATCAGCATTTCCAGGCTTATGAAGGACCTCTGACTAGACAGAGTACAAACATCTTTATTAGTAGATTTGTATAAGCCACTGAAATAACGTAGATGCATATGGCTCTTGATTGAACACGTTCCTTGTCTGACATGTATGAAGAAATATTTTTAAAAAAGGAAAATACAGTCGGCCACATTGGCATGCTGCAAATTCGTATTCCCCCTTTAGACGTTCTTTTAGAATGTGAATGTACACACAGCATTTATTGATACATTTTGCTGTTTACAGCAACGGTCAATGACAATGGGAACAGTGCTATGATTCCTGTTATTTCAACAAACTATACTACACACATGAATATGAGAGTTGTTCTACTGTTTCTGTAAAGTCTGCAATAATATTCGTTGCTTTCTTCGCCTTTCTTGCTTCTTTAGCATGGGGTTTATTTTGAGCGTTCCAACTTTGAAGCACTGACATTTGGCATCAACTGCTTTCTTAAAGTTATGGATCTCAATTTCCTTGCGGAAAAACAAAGTTATGCATACTTCTCCGTGTTATGTTGGTTTTGGTTGGTTTCTTGTTTCACACCGCGCTAAGCACTATTCCAGCTATATGGCGGCGGTCTGTAAAAATGCGAGTCTGGACCAGACAATCCAGTGATCAACATGAGCAACAATCTAGCCGTGTTATGGGGATTTCTCTGATAATATGGGTACTCCACTTTGCTAACACGTTAGAATGTACACATAACAGTTATTGATAACATTTTGCTGTTTACAGCAACGGTCAATGACTCAAAGATTGTTTGGTGCCTATCGAATCCTTGTCTGAATGGTGGAAGCTGCGTGCTTTCTGGATCTAACTATTCGTGTGCGTGTCCACCAGACTTCAGTGGCAGAAACTGCGAGACAGATGTAGGTATGTATACAAGGGTACTTTTAGCCGAGTGAAGACCGATGATCACAGATGAACCCAAAATGGAACTACGTCTATGACAGAAAATATGTGTAAGAGTTTTAAATATTCCTCACAAAATACGGGTCTGAGATAGTGCAACCTATAGATGACCGATACTGCAGTTTGAAGAATATTTCAAGCCTACTGATTGCACATGGGAAAAGACAAATGTTATTATGGAATGCATGCCTGTGTTCTTCAGCATACGTCCTGAGAGGATACGTAAGTTGGAAAACCATCGAAGGAAATTTAAACTTACCAGATATTTTAAACTTAGTATTTTTGTGCTTTTAAATTATGGCTAAATTTTCCTACAATCGCCAACGGCTGAAGGGATGGTGTAAATCCAGGTTGGGTCCATGTAGGTAGCAAAGACACTGTAAGTCCCCATGGTACCTGGTATAGTGATTCCCTACAGTTGTTGGCGATCTACAGCCTGTTTGTTATATTATATCGTCTTCAATAGTTAAACTGTTTTAGATGTAATTACTAGTTTTAAATTTGTATCTGTGATCATCTACTTGTTTTACTGTCCTTCGTTGACATATGTTTAGACTTTACTTTTAATTATAAAACTATAACTTGATTTAGTCACGACATGGCTGAAATATTGCCGATGTGACTTAAAATTATAACTCACTCACTCACTCTTCAGCATACTATTTCATTGTCATATACAATGCCAATTCATCGTTACAGCGTGCAAGAAACGGAAACTTGACATCCTGATCATTACGGATGTATCAAATTCCATTGGCAACAAAACTTATACAAGAATGAAGAAGTTCCAAAACAAGATGGTTGATTCCTTTGAGATAGGCCCTGATGCAGTTAACGTTGCTTTGATGGATTTTTCCGTACGTCCTAAAGTGGTATTCAATCTGAACGACTACAACAACGACAAATCAGCTGTGCTAGCAGCTGTAGCCAACGAAGAATACGAAGCTGGACCTACTACTAGGCTTGGAGAGGCAATCAAGCTGGCTGTATCTGAGGTATTTACAAAGAGGAACGGAGATCGCCCGGAGGCTGACAACAACGTCTTTGTCTTCACTGATGGTTTCAATGACGCTGACGATGCTGCAACTGTTGATGCCAACATTGGTCAACTTCAAGCGACGTCAAAAGTATTCGTTATCACCCCACCTGGCATAGCCAATAACGCTACTGTCGAAACAATCGCTTCGGATCCCGGTTATAGCTATTCCTTCCCTGTGGACAGTCAAAACGCGACAATTGCGATCACGGAAATGGTTACAGTGTGTGAAGTAATAAAATAGTTACTGGAGTATGACAGCGAATTCACGGTTAACGTCACGTCGGGAGTAGCCATATATGGACATATATCAGTGTATGAAATAAGCCAAAACCCCAGCCAGACATCAGGGCTGGTAGCTTCAAAATGTTACCAGCCCAAAATGGATTTAACCAGACCAAATATGGTGAATTTACTCAGATGTATGGAACATCTGAAAAATTTACCAGTCCATCGGGCTGGCAAGCTGTAAATTAAGACCGTCCGTCAGAAATCTAGACCGTCTCGGGCGGTCGGACGGGTCTTATTTCATACACTGCATATAGGTAAAAGGATTTTTAGAAGCTGTAGTTCTGAAGGTACATGCTATGACGTTATTTCATATCCAATAAATTGTCTACATCTACTTGAAGTATTATCAGGTTTTCTTTCTTCTTGCTTTAGATGTGGGTGGGGAGTAGTCAAGTGGTTTTACTGTTTCGTTTTTCACGCTGAAGGGCTGTGTTCGATGCCCCACGTGGATACGATACGTACAGAATCCCATTTGTTGTGTCGCCGTGGTAAATGCGACCGGAAACGATAACTCATTATAGGTCATGTGTCACTTTTCATATCATTACAATAACGCCCTTATCTTTGATTTATTTGCGTTAAATATTCTGTCAGTTAACGGTCTTGGAATTGTTTTACTACCACGGTATATCTTTTTAAAACATGTCGTAAGAGTGAGCGAATCAACATTGTTTTACGCCGTTTTTAGCAATATTCCATCAATATGACGGCGGGGATACAAGAAACTGGCTTTGCACATTGCATCCATGTGCGGAATCGATCCCTGGTCTTGGCGTAAACCATTAGGCTACCCCACCGCCCCTGTATCGTAAGACATAAATCATACCTGCAGCCTTGTTTAAAGGTGTGTATACGGTGTATGGCAAATAAAAACTAAGCCGGAGCGCCGACTTCAACTTTTCCAGTGCATGGTTCAATACTCGTGAATATTTCATTGGCCTAAAATAATATTTAATCAGTTATTACTATTTTGGTACATGGTGAAGGGGTAACCAGAAATAGGGAGCCCGAAACAAGGTTATATCTGCTCTTCCTGGGGCGGTGGCGTAGCCTAGTGGTTAAAGCGTTCGCTCGTCACGCCGAAGACCCGGGTTCGATTCCCCATATGGGCACAATGTGTGAAGCCCATTTCTGGTGTCCCCCGCCGTGATATTGCTGGAATATTGCTAAAAGCGGAGTAAAATCATACTCACTCACTCACAGCTCTTTCTGGTGGATTTCTCCCTTTCAAGAACACCTGGTGTCAATTCATTTGGGGTGATGCACCGCAGGAAAATCCACGCATCAGTACTACCAATTTAAAACTCTAAGCTCTAAAACCTGTAGACGTGTTATTCCTTTTCTGTAGCTCCATAAACATCGGTATGAAGACTGACTGACTGAGTTTAGTTTTACGCCGCTTTTAGCAATATTCCACCAATATCACGGCGGGGGACACCAGAAATGGGCTTAACACATTGTGCCCATGTGTCCGTATGAAGAGAAATGTGTTGCTGGGTCCATGAAACAACCACAGAAGGACTTTCCTCAAAGTCATAATATACATATACCTCTAATGCAATTCTGTTACAAATGAAGTTCAGTTCAGGCATTGTATGGGTGGTATCTCAGTGGGATAGCACTGCAGACCGACACTACAAACAGCCACGCACGCACGCACGCACGCACGCACGCACACGCACACACGAGCATGCACGTCGCTATTTAACTTCAATAACCGTGAACAGGACTTTAAACTCTATTTTACAGCTCTTCGCGTCATTATTGGTGATAAAAGAAGTGAGCGAGTATGGTTTTATGCAGCTTTGAACAATCTCCAGACATTTCACAGCGTGTCTGCTTGATGGGGGAGTAAAGCCCGAAGTGGTGTAACTCCTAGATGTTAAAAACCCATGCTGACAAATGCAAAACCCGGAGTTCAGATCCATGATCATTTGTTGCTGACACTACGAAAGGGAAGCAAATCTACACTACGACGGTTGGAGCTCAACAATGAAATGACAAGCTAAAAAACACGAACATGATTTCGTATATAATGCATTTTATTATATCGCTTTGAATCGTGAATATATGCAAAAAAATGTGAATTTAAATTGCTGCGCCTAATTATTAAAAAACATGACGACTCGGCAAATACATTTCCAACGATTTAAATGCATGTTTTCTGTACTTTATTTCTTTTCTGCCATCCACATTTAGGAGGAGATTGGATGAAAACATATACCAACTAAACTAGTGCTCAAAAGAAAGTATACAGTGTGTTTGACCAAACTGGAAAAGAAAACATTGTGTGTGACATGCCTCAGTATGGTTTTATCACTTCATTTTTTCTTTTGTGAATTTCTATGTAATATAATGCGGTGTATAGTTTCTTTTAAGCACCAGTTTATACTTTTGTTAAATAAAGTGAGTGAGTGAATTTAGTTTTACGCCGCTTTTAGCAATATTTCAGCAATATCACGGGGGGGGGGCACCAGAAATGGGCTTCACACATTGTACCCATGTGGGGAATCGAACCCGGGGAATCGGCGTGACGAGCGTACGCTTTAACCACTAGGCTACCCCTCCGCCATATTTGTTAAGTGGATTTTGACACAAGGGTGTTAAGAGTATTCCAGTTCTAACACAGCGTGTCAGCTTTATGTGGTAGCGCAGGTCGAAGTAAGCATTTGGAGCGGACAAACCTAGAAACTGAGATTCGAACCCACGAGCATAAGTTTCTGGCGTGACCAAGGAACGCAGCTCTGTCCAGTGAACCACAGCTGTCTGGTCCTCTGTGCCACCAAAACAAACAACAATCCTTCATGAAAACGGTATTTCATGACATTCAAAAGTGAGTGAGTGAGTGAGTGAGTATGGTTTTACGCCGCTTTTTAACAATATTCCAGCAATATCACGGCGGGGGCCACCAGAAATGGGTTTCACATCTTTAGCGTGACGAGCCAACGCTTTAACCACTAGGCTACCCCACCGCCCCTCACCCAAAAGTACATGCTCACAATCACTGTTCTCGGATACTTGCGAAAATACTATGGTTGGTGTTCAGTCTTCATGCTAAAGTGTGGTATCTGTAATTGTAAACCAAAAGTCATTGTGTTTTTTAATCTGATTGGTTGAAAAACATGATCAAACATCGCTCACACCATTGTATTGTTACGTCGTCAGCTGTGATGACGTCATTAAACAAACAGCAATCCTTCATTTAGGAGCGTATTGATATTGATATTGTGACGTAAAGTCCGAATGACGTCACAAATGAGCAGTTCCAGATGGGAGACAGCCGAAACGGCCGGCTGATGATATTTCACTGCTGTCCCCGTACTATATGTCAAACCTTTTGGTTTACTTTTGTGTTTACAATGTCGATAAACATCATGTGTTGGCCAATTTCCGGGTGTTATTGAGTATTTGAAGCACGAGAATATTTCATTTGAAACCTTCGGCTGACGCCGTCGGTTCCAAATGAATTCCCATGCTTCAAATACTCAATAACACCCGGAAATTGGCCAACACATGATGTTTATCTCCTAATTACTATTACTTACAGAACCACCACTGTCGATATTGGATGATTGAGTAGGGGACACCGGGGTCAATTGTAACACAGTGTTACAACTGCCCCCATGTAATTTTCCCCTGTCTTATGATAATGAAACAAATTATGATGAAGGTTTTATGTTAGCTCTTTACTAGTATTATAATACTAGAACAATTTCAGTGTTATGTTGATAGTATTGGCCCTCGGGTGAAAGTTTTTGGTGATAGTCTTTGTATTATATTTTGGGCTTACCAATACAAGAATTTTAAACCAAAACATTTTAATTGTCGATGGTGAAAAAGATTTAATGTGTATACCATCGACCTCATGCGGAAGTCACTTAGAATGGGTCTCACATAAGGTGTCGAACCCAGACTCTTTGCGGGATGAGCTAACGCCTCTACCACCAGGCCCTTACACGTAGAAGGTCGGGACAAAGTCTACGGGAAAATCAATCGGCCACCAGAACCGAAGAGGCCAGTAGATGCAGAGAGTTCTGATAATCCAAGGATAATCCCGTGGGAAGGGGCGATCTGTAACACAATAATGGAATATTCAGTAACAAATATAATCTGGAACATGGTATATCAGGACTAAGACATATACTGAGAAGCAAAAAAAACTATACAGCTGATATTGTCACATGTTGTTATGTGAAAAATAAGTTAAACGATATCATATACAAATGTAACTTTAACTCAAAGAATACCTCTACGTCACTTTTGTTAAATACTAGTATGACTTTTTAAAAATCGCATAATAAACAATAAGTATCTCGACATCTTTCCTTTGAAAATATATGGTAAAACATGGTAGAGGTTACGCCGCTGCCAGAGCATTAATCACTGCCAGAGATTTTACACAAAATTGTGCAGCTACACATTACGCTTTTACAACTCGTCCGGGAGTGGGGAATGGTTAAAAATGGACAAAATGATATCTAATAACTGTTTTTGCACTTTTCAATTACATTTAAAAGACTTGGTATACTTTCTTTTGGCCCTCAGTTCATGTGACGTTGTTAAAGCCCTATATACCTGTACAAAGGAACCCGTGAAGGTCCGGGTTAGAATATTGGCCTTCAGTAACCCATGCTTGTCGTAAGATGCGACTAACGGGATCGGGTGGTCAGGCTCGCTGACTTGGTTGACACATGTCATCGGTTCCCAATTGCGTAGATCGATGCTGATGCTGTTGATCACTGGATTGTCTAGTCCATACTCGATTATTTCCAGACCGCCGCCATATAGCTGGATTATTGCTGAGTGAGGCGTAAAACTCAACACACTCACTCATTGTACAAAGGCTTGGTTACATCTTTAGCATCTTCTGTTGATGCATTTCAAGTGTTAATGTATCCTCATTTCAGAATGACAAGATGTGCTATTGCAATCACTGACCTAGGCGTATGGTTCTAATAAAAGGCCCATGTACAGAATGTTAAATTCCAGTGAATGGAAACATCACACCTAACTCTCAAACAAGAAATGTTATCAATGACACTCACAAAATTCTTCAACTTGGTACATAGGAGCACCACGGCAAAAGTTATTCACGGATATGCTGTCAGTGCGTGGAACAGACTCCTTAGATGGCACTTTGTAGAAATGTTCTGGTTCCTCCAGGACGACCTCGCCCTGAAACACGGGTAAATAAGGAATTAGTTACTAGTACTTTCGATTTAACTGTGACAAGTGCCAGTTCCGCCTCTTAGACTGGCGACCTGTGAAGAATCGACCTTCAGTTGTCAGGCTCGCTCACTTGTTTTATGCATTTCAGCGTATCCTAATTACGTAGATCGATGCTCATGTTGTCAGTCACTGGATAGGCTGGTCCAGACTCGATTATTTATAGGCCACAGTCATATAGCCGGTTCATCATTAAACGACAGATAAAAATACATTTGATTGGAAATATTCGAGTTTCGGAAACTATTTTGTATCATCAAAACGATCTTTAACGTGCGTGATACTACAACACAAAATCTTATTTTTTGGGCGACGGCAAAAGATGTCCGGTCACGAACGCTGTCTCAGAAAACCTCAACTGTCAAATGACGTCAACAACCACGACGTTTCAATGGTGACGTGATTCCGATCTTTTGTCAAAATACGATTCAAATGTCATCAACAATTCACACGGAAGACGTAAAGAATACACTTTGCGCGTTTAGTGATAATTGTAATACGTCGGTTAACTCTATGAGCCTGTGAAGATCCGGGTTAAAATTGGTCCTCAGTAAGCTTGTCGTAAAAGACGACTAAGGGGATCGGGTGGTCAGGCTCGCTGAACTCGTTGACACTGGTATCCCAATTGCGTAGATCGATGCTCATGATGTTGATCACTGGATTGTCTGGTCCAGACTCGATTATTTACAGACCGCCGCCATATAGCTCGAATATTGCTAAGCGCGACGTAAAACTAAACTCACCCACTCACTCACTAACTCTATGGGTTATGAAAAAATGTTGAATTTCGTACCATTCCGGCCCTCGTCTGAAGATCCTTCACTGTTTCATCGAATGTCTTGGCGGGATGTGTCAAGAAACAAATACCTCTTCCGCCCCGTGTATCCAAGTGTTTGATTGCAAGAATCCCCTGAAAGTAAAATAAAATAGCAAAACCCGTTTCCAGGAGAAAACTAACGACATGTAAATGTAATACAATAACTGAAATAAGCAGCAAAAGACGCTTACTGCAATCATTACGTCCACCGTTGGCAAAACGTTTTCTGACGTAGCTGGGGCAGTGCGGTAGCCTAGTGGTTAAAGCGTTCGCTCGTCACGCCGAAGATCCGGGTTCGATTCCCCACATGGGTACAACGTGTGGAGACCCGTTCTGGTGTCCCCGCCGTGATATTGCTGGAATATTGCTAAAAGCGGCGTATAACCAAACTCACTCACTCACTCCGACGTAGCGTGTTTGTAACTTGGGACAGTCCGACAATTTTTAAGCCTCTCCGTACGATTATGTCTCGAAAAGTTCGACACGGGCCTTATTTGGGGCACAGGATGAGTTTAATGTGTAAAACTTGGAGAAATGAAAACATCAAATGGAAGCTATCAGATGTGTTCAAATGAATGAGCAGACTGACTGACTGACTGAGTTTGGTTTTACGCCGCTTTTAGCAATATTCCAGCAACATCACGGCGGGGGACACCAGAAACGGGCTTCACACATCGTGCCCATGTGGGGATTCGAACCCGGGTCTTCGGCGTGACGAACCAACGCTTTAACCACTAGGCTACCCCACCGCCCCTGAATGAGCAGAAACAGGTTCATTTCACAACTTGCCTTAGGTGAAACGCTGCAGGTTAAGAGATAAGACCTCTACATAAGATGGTATAAGCAAGACAAGACCAATTAGTTAGAGATAAGATAAATAAAATCATTTGAACATGTTTCATCATCGCCATACTAATATTTCAATATCTGAGGGGGAGAGAGTGAGAGAGAGAGATGCGTGTGTGTGTGTGTGTGTGCGTATGTGTGTGTGTGTTTTCCCTTCGTCATTATACGTTGTTTATGATGTTATTTTGTAGATATCGTATTAACAAGTACCATTTGGTAATACTAGTTTCAATTTTATATTAAATGAGAAACAAAACTTAGTCAACTTTTTCCCCTGCTTCATCCTCGATATAGTGGAGAGTGATCGTAACGTATTCCCTGGAGATTATCGAGGATGCCCCTGCTTATGCTCGGGACAAATTTCCTATACATGTATATGAATGATAGTATTAATAGTTTTTAAATAGTTTCATGGACAGTGGTGACATACATTATTAATGGTTAGTGAGTGAGTGTAGTGAGTGAATGATTATTGTTTTCCGCCGCTTTTACCAACATTCCCATAATTTCACGGCAGGGAACACCAGAAATGGCTTCACACATTGTACCCATTTGGGGAATCGAACTCGCGTCACCGGCGTGACGAACGAACGCTTTAACCACTAGGCTATCCCACCGTCCTTATAGCATCAATAAATGTACTCACCTTTGTGAAATCATGTAGACTCTGGGATCTGTGGTACTGCTTCTCGTGGAGGGCGGGACTCTCCGACGACATGAGGATGACCCCTGGTCTCAAGACACTTGCATGTTCCTCTACGTAAAAGGGTTTAGCGTCTGGGTTAATGTTTCTTTGCCATTTGAACGTAACAGTCTGTAAAAGAAAAACACGTCACAATTATCTGAAAATTGGTTCACTGACTGTGTTATCGAAACAAACATAATAATAATAATAATAATAATAATACCAGCCTGACTGTGCCAGGATCACCCGAACCCTCTCTGCTGCATACTATCTTTAATCAGTAAAACATAAATATATATATATTTATATAGCGCTTAGTTTCGGCTAGGTTAATCTGCTCAAAAGCGCCTTTGGGCAATGAATTATCCTGGGGAATGTGTACAACAATGAGTCTACACACGGGGAGTTTGCAGTTCAGGCGTAACACGAGGTGAAGAGGTAGGTTTTCAGGTGTGGTTTGAATGTTTCAACATGGATTTGTTCTCAATATAGAAATATCAACAGCGAACTTGTGCTAATATAGCAAGGACAGCGATGTTATGTCGGCTATAGTGACATATTAACGTATGAAATATCTCAAGTAGTGCTAGACATTTACAGTGTTGAGGAATCCCACAAGTTAATATTAACGGGGAACATTTTCAGACTTAACTATGATCAGCTCCTGGTACTGATGCAAATTTGAGAACTGGTCCGTTCAATATATATGTACTTCATTTCTATACAGTCTTAGCCAAGTTTTGAGAGCATACGTTTCGAAATATATTATTTACAAATACCTCCTAAACATTATATATTGTATATACGTATACTTTAAGTAGCACAGTCAAATAAAAAAGCTCAATCTCTCGGATTTTTTTATTATATACAAAAGCAAATAATTCGCAAACACAACAAGGAAACTGTGCATATCGATTTTCGATTCGTGTAACACAGATTCTTATTTCAGGTAGTGTTCTATATATACAGGGCACAAAAAGAAATCGTGCATAGCGTAAAATAATAAAAACGTAACATCATTAAGAAAATACTGTGAAGTGGCATTCTCACTTTTATATTAAGTGAGTGAGTATGTTATAGGTGTAGCAATATATTAGAGCATTATCAGGAGCGCCCACCAGAAATTGCCATCAAACATTGAACCCAAGTCGGGAAGCATGATTACGGAATATTTTGTTCAACTTGACTGTCACCAGGTTAGTTTACCGTACGTTTAATGTAACACAGTTCAGACTTTGTGGTAAGTTTCATAATTTATGGCTAGGGGGGTGATGATGATTTAAAGGGGGGTCATCAATTTTGTACATAAAAATATGTGTAAAATTATGCTTAGAAATTATGTAGTTGATTTTGTACATGACATGCAGGGGTCACTTATTTTGTACATAAATTGGGGGCATTCACATTGTACATGCTTCTCCATATAAATCAGGGCGGTGGGGTAGCCTAGTGGTTAAAGCGTTGGCTCGTCACGCCGAAGACCCGGGTTCGAATCCCCACATGGGTACTATGTGTGAAGCCCATTTCTGGTGTCCCCCGCCGTGATGTTGCTGGAATATTGCTAAAAGCGGCGTAAAACCAAACTCAGTCAGTCTCCATAAAAATCATCATCAACCCCACTAGCCATAAATTATGAACGGTCCCTAATAATGTAATTACACTGAATCAAAGTTAAAACTTACTGTGGTAATATTGCACTAACTGAAACAAACTTTCTTTTAATTAACAGAAATATCACAAAATATTACAGTTTGTCCGTTGCTATGGCAATACTCACATTCCCCTCTTGACGTTGGCAAGATGCATATGCGAAGAAAAGAATGGTGATTCCGGTGGCGAGAAGCATCTTCATTGTGGTCTTCTGTCCTGTATAACTGCCTCACTTCGCAGCTCCTCGAAGATTATATACGTTTTCATTCACGGATATGTAGACGGATAGCCAATCAAGGCTAAGAAAACTGGATACCGGATTGGAAAACAACCTCCACATATCCTGTTCATCAGGCCGACCAATCAAATTGGAGGAAGACATTCACTGTTGTCGGTAATGCGGAAGTCAAGGTCGACTAAGTATACACTGTTCATGGATGACTGACAAACGGGGACAATGTCATGTTTTGCTGTGGTAATACTGTTCACTGTCTGTCGATTACAATTTATGTTAAACTGGCGTGGGAAAGGTATTACTGCGTCAGTAGAAATGATATCTTGTCAGTTTCCTGGAATAATATTTTCGAGGATTCTATTGGTCTTCTGAATTGAATCAGTATTTACAATCTTTGTTAATTGTAAGCATATGCCAACACTATTCCAAAAAAGCTAATCGCGACGATTCTGGTTTAACGAATTTTTAACTGTCTATTCTTCAGAGGATGTATTGATAATAATATTCTAAAAAATAAGTTCACTTTAGTAAGATCAGAAACACTCTTTTGTAGGATACATGAGATTTCATGACTAGTTTCTAGGTTTTCCAGCACTATATCCCACATGGGTGCAATTTGTGATTCCCATTTCTGGTCTCCCCCGCTGTGACATTACTAGAGTGAGTGAGTGAGTTTAGTTTTACGCCACACTTAGCAATATTCCAGCTAAATGGCGGCGGTCTGTAAATAATCGAATCTGGACAAGACAATCCAGTCATCAACAGCATGAGCATCGATCTACGTAATTGGGAACCGATGACATGTGTCAACCAAGTCAGCGAGCCTGACCACCCGATCCCGTTAGTCGCCTCTTACGACAAGCATGGGTTACTGAAGATCAATATTCTAACCCGAGATATTACTGGAATATAAAAACGGCGTAAAATCATATTCACTCACTCCATCAAATTAATATTGTGCAACGTGGTCTTATTATTATTTATTAACTCGGTCCTTATTTATATGCCCTTAATTCCCTACAAAACGGGCTTCATTTAAGTTTTCTTACTGTTTTCACTGATATATTTATATAATCTTCACATCTGTTTTGTCAAATGGTGTGTTTCGAGGGTAATGTGGCCTGCTTATTCTCTTCTTTTCCATTAACGATTTCACTTTCACAGTTGCTAAGACCCGAGTTCATTCCCCACATGGGTACAATGTGTGAAACCTTCTTCTGGTGTCCCCCGCCGTGATATTGTTGGAATATTGCTAAAAGCGGCTTAAAACTAAACTCACTCACTCACTATGTGTAAAGTTGTCCCTCCACAAAACGGAAAGACCAGTTTGCATCTGTCTACAGTCCAGTAGACTGAAAGGATAATCCCCTAATGTATTACTGTACATGTAAACAAGATAGGAATTCGAGTTTCAGATAAATCAATATTGTGTAAAATAAAGATCGGTATGTTTGAGCTGTATATAAATTTGCGGGTCAGCAGTCACAATTTCCCTTCCAGCAGATAACATACCTTGCCAAGAGCTTCAATACAATGCTTCAATGGACACGACAACATCCTGGTTTGGGAGTACAAGTTAAATGTGCCATGAACGTCACCGACGTCACTAGGGGTGAGACGGTCATACACAGTAGGTAATGGTTTCCACACAGCATGTTACGTGTTCAATAAACCGAATACTCTGACCGATCTGACACAGGACGAACATGCGCAATGGTGTTATTGATGGAGGGTTTACACAGATTTGATAGCTGGGGTTCTTGATTGCTTGGCTTTCAAATTGTTTGAGTTGTGAAAGTAAATAATTGTTTTTATGAACTGTATATATCTGCTTATCTGAACACAAAGCGGTGTCATTTGTCGGCTATCATGCAGTTCGGTTGTTCGTATTTATTGCGTCTCACATATTACTGTCCTGCGCCCCGTTCCTCAAAGTGATCGTAGCGCTACGACAGTCGTACGTCTATGTTACAGTATGGGAGTTACGATCACCGTGGCGCTACCACTGTCGTAAGTCTATGTTAAGGTATTGGAGTTACGATCACCTTAGCGCTACGACTGTCGTAAGTCTATGCTAAAGTATGGGAGTTACGATCCCCTTAGCGCTACGACTGTCGTAAGTCTATGTTAAGGTATGGCAGTTACGATAATCTTAGCGCTACGACAGTCATACGTCTATTTTAAGGTATGGGAGTTACGATGATCTTAGCGCTACGACTGTCGCAAGTCTATGCTAAAGTATGGGAGTTACGATCACCTTAGCGCAACGATTGCTTTGAGGAACGGGGTCCTGTACATAACTGTCGCATTATCCATTCATTCGCCCCTTGGAATACTATCATTTCGTTCCACAAAAATGAATCTTTACTCGTTTTAAGAACAACTCACTGTATAGTCTCCGCTTTGTCTCTATGAGTTGCCTTTCCGCGTCTTTTAAACTCTCAGGCATTTCATTATGAAAATATGACAAACATACTGTGTTTCGAAGAAGAAAATCAGCTTGGATTAAGTTATTGGATCATGACCACTTTCAAACTGTTAATGTCACGATTGTCAACAACAGATGTATTCTCAACAAAAGGCAGGTATATTTCAAGATAAATATCCTCCCGAGCTCTGAATCACAGCACGTAGAAGATAAATAATCGCAAACAATATGGTTGCACTTCAACGCTTTTAAATAAGCATGCTCTATAGTTTGTTTGCAGTGAAAACGTACCGATGAATTTCACTTTAAACAAAAGTAAATCAAATGAAGTGAAAGTAAGATTGCGAATCCTCATGATTTTACCTTGCCAATTGAACATTTAAATCTCAAAATTTTATTCAAATTAGGATAAAAGTTGTTTAACAAACGATCATAGATGCAAATCGCTATTACTGGTTTGTATTACAAGGGGGTAAGCGCAGTAGTTGGAACAGTGAAAACAAATGCAAGTGCGGTACGTGAAGAGCGTTAACTTATAACAACCCTTGTCGTTTTCGGTGTTTCATTTGAAGTGCATACCCCTTGTAATACAAACCAATAATAGCCATGTGAAAGTATGATCGTTTGTTAAACAACTTTTATCCTAAGTCGAATAAAATTCTGAGATTTAAATGTCAATTGGCAAGGTAAAATCATGAGGATTCGCAGTCTTTATTTCACTTTATTTGTTTTACTTTTTGGTTTAAAGTGACATTCATCGGTACGTTTCACTGCAAACAGACTATAGTCAATTCAGTTTCTATCCAACCATTGCGCGAACACTGCTTACACCTACGTAAACAAACTGACATTCAAAATGTTCATTTCGCAATAAGATGCACTCGGGTAACCCTAGCTACGTAGAAAACCTTGTTTTCTATTCCATATATGGGTTCAGTGAGTGAGTAAGTAAGATCAGAAACACTCTTTTGTAGGATACATGAAATTTCATGACTATTTTCTAGGTTTTCCAGCACTATATCCCACGTGGGTGCAATTTGTGAAGCCCATTTCTGGTGTCCCCCGCTGTGACATTACTAGAGTGAGTGAGTGAGTTTAGTTTTACGCCGCACTCAGCAATATTCCAGCTTTATGGCGGCGGTCTGTAAATAATCGAGTCTGGACCAAACAATTTAATATGGGTTCAGTACATGACGCCCATCCTTAGTAGAAGGGCGCGGAACTTGCTAAAGGAGGCGTGAAACAGTATGATCTCGTTGACAGGGTTTTATACGATATCTGTTAAAACATTGACGTTCGTTTTTATGTCATCAAGTAATTTCCTGAGCAACATACATGTATGAGCAAGATTAAAAATGGTATTTTATAAAGTTTGCATTATCCATTCACCCACCTGTTGTAATACTGCGCACTGCAATATTACATCCATATGACTGTGGTCTGTAAACTTGAGTCTAGACCAGAGATACTGGTGATTGACATCATGAGCATCGATCTACGCAATTGGAAGGACAAGCTTCTGTCAAGTTTGTCAGCCTGACCACCCAGTCTCGTTAATCGCTAATCATACTTAGCATCTATGCCTAAACATAAGGGGCGGTGGGGTAGCCTAGTGGTTTGAGCGTTCGCTCGTGACGCCGAAGACCCGGGTTTGATTCCTCACTGGGGTATAATGTGTGAAGCTCATTTCTGATGTCCAATGCCGTGATATTTCTGGAATATTGCTAAAAGCAGGTAAAACTAACTCGCTAACTCCCTTACTAAAGACAAATTCTCCACGGGGGACAAGTAGGGCCTATAAGTTGCTGAACATACACTCCAACCCGGATCTTCACGGATGAAGCAGAAAACACAATTCACCTAGTTAAGTGTTTTGTCTGACGTGACTGAGGCCTGGCTCTAGGGATTTTCCACTTGCTTGGATATGTCTATAAGCAACCTGTTATTGTTATCACCAGTTCATTCAGTGGGCCATGTGGCGAGGTCGCCTGAGGCCCCGCTATTCAAGTGATGTTTCGAGATTTATAGGCACCATACTGTGTATTTAATATGATAACAATAAGAGTACTTATATAGCGCTGATTTCCATCACACAAGGGCAATGCTGAAGAAGAGAGACGTGAGACACCTCGGAGACCTCATCGCTTGGGCGAACATAAGATTATGTAACTTATATACTGATCACAGCAGTCCACCCACCCACTCACTCACTCACTCATCCACCGACAAACGAGGGAGTAGATAACGTTATGGACGCTTATCTTTGTTACGACTAACCAATACAGAATAATGTCTTGTCAAGCCACGTTAATAAGTACCAGAAAATCAACTGTATATGGGTACCTCGTAAGGATGGGAATGCCACAATAACTCGGTGCGCCTAGTTGCTGCAAGAGTTGTATGATCCCCAGGGAGTTGAGATTGACAATACGATGTGCCGTTGAGATTGACATCCAGTGAACGAGGGAAAAACAAAGCAAGCGCAAAGAGTCCTTTGCGGAGATTTGCGCTATATAAATGCTATCCATTATTATTATTATTATTATTTACAGATTAAAAATTGTATGCAGCAGAGAGG